TCCCTGCAAGACTTTGCCACGGCCATTGAACTCCTTTCCCGTCGTGCCTACCCTAATCTACCTGCTGACCACATAGGAAGGGAGGCAGGAAAATCCTTCGCATACGGAATACGAGATGCCGATATAAAGTTCCAGCTGCTGCTGGGAGGGGAGAAGACGGTAAACGAGGCCCTTCGACAAGCGCTAGAGCTGCAGGCGGTACTGGTAGCAGCCAGACCTCACGGAGATAACACCAGGTTCCGATCGTCGCCCACCCAACAAGGAGATGACAATAGACAGCACCAGGACCGAAAACAAGGACCTCCAAGAAATAAACGGGAATCGCTGGGGAAATCAGAATGGCGACCCAGAAACACCAGGGAAACAAGCTGGAGAAAGGACCAACCGTCGGGAAACGAGCGACGGCCGGCGGAGATGGGCGAACGCCGGCATATGCCTTAAGGCCCCCACATTATGCACTCACCGACATGATGGAGAAAGCCAACACCAGTCTGGTCACCCAGGGATGGGTCGGTGATAAGCCGTGCCAGGTGACAGTGGACACGGGAGCATACGTCACGGTAGTAAGACCAGATATCGCCGCCGGATGGCCTGAAAGAGAGCCAAACCCAGACTTCAAGCTGCAGACCGTGTCTGGAGGATCCCTGCCCATACTGAAAGAAGTTCTGTTGACCCTTACACTAGGGCGCCAACCTATTACGATGTGGGTGTTCGTCGCGAATATCACCGATGAGCTCATCCTGGGACTGGACATACTNGCACGCCTATGATGCGTCAGTGGATATAGGGCGCCAAACTCTGCGTCTGACGGAAGAAGAAGTATCGTTATGGAGTCCTGGGGCAGGACCCCGTCCTTCTAGCTTAATAGTGGCAAAGGACCATGTGATAGCCGCACGGAGCGAGGGAATAGTGATGGCTAGAATGGAGAATCATCTGGGAGTAGAAAATTGTCTAGTAGAACCAAACCCCCAGGCCCACCAGCGTGAAGGAATCTACGTAGCCACGACCCTTGTTCAGGGCTGTCTAGAAGTACCAGTGAGGGTCATGAATGTTACCCACAAGGACCAAAGCTCAGGAGAGGATCTCCTCTGGCGCACTGTGAGCCAGTAACACTCG